GAATTTTTGGGATACGTTGTAGGAACCAAGGGACTATCAGTGGATGAAAGAAAAGTAGAAGCAGTGCATGCATATGGAGAATTGAGGAATACGACTCACAGTCGTCGCTGGTATGTACCACTCCGAAACTCCGTTTCGTCGTTCATACGAGATATCCCCCCTTCATGGGGTTTTTCCTATACCTAGAAAACGATAAACATCAACGTCATCCTGGCCCCTCTAGGGGGCCATTGAATACCAAGAAAGGGAGTACGAAGTACGACCCCAGTATTCCAACCACTACGTGGTACAAAGATAACAATACTATCCTCATACCATCATTGTACCAGTCCTTGTACCAGAAAACATATCAATATCCCTTTCAAATCATCATAAATCATCAAAATCAATACAAATCATATCCTGGTACAATGGTACAAAGACAAAATCACGAAAATATAACATCACATATCCCTACCACATATATATACCCTTATATATATTTTTGTGAAAAATCTCCTTGTACCAGTTGTACCAGCCCAGAAATTACTCGAGAACGCAATAAATCATATCCAGAAGCTCAAATTCGATACTTTCTTGGTACAAAGACGGAAATGTACCGCCAAATGTACCATTTTTTATTATGCCTTGAACCAAAATTTCGAATTGAATAAACAGGTACTATAAATATCTCAGTAGATACTTGACCAAGCAATTGAACATATCTGTGGTAAAAGTAACAGAATGAAAAAAATACAAACCATGACTTACAATAATATTTGCCTAGAAGATTCATGCGTAACTCCAGTTAGCTTTAGAGAATATGGCAGTTATTGCCCAACTCATAGAATAAATATGAATGGCTGTTGCAGAAATCATTGTTTGATTGATGAAGAGGGAGGGCATTGTATTCATTGTACCCCCAATCAACCATCAATTCACTGCGAATTCTGTGGATGTGCAGGTTTACAAACAATTTGTGATGTCTGCAATGAGTGTGAGGCCTCCTATAATGATATCCCTGATTTAATTGAGTATGACTCAGAAGAGGATCAAGTTGCAAATTTTCACGAATTTTACCAGATCACTGCCCCTACAAGAGAAGAGCAAATTGAAAGGCTATCAATGCTTAATATTCAGCTATGTGAGGAATGCCAGATGCCTTGTGAAAGTAACCGGTGCAAGGATTGTTTGTTTTAACCTTGCTCAGCTAAAAGTTTCTTAACAATTTTCATAGCCTCTTTCTTCTTCTTGGCCTTCTCTTTTTTCTCTTTAGCTTCAGTAATTTCTGCCAGGGTTTTCTTTTTAATTGTACCATCCTTAGAAACAAAAGTATGCTTTTTAGTACCACAAACCTTGCATACACCAATTAACCGCATTCGACCAGTTGCTGTGCATTCTAATTTTTCAGATGAACTCATTGTTTTATCCCAACACTTTACACAGTAGGTTGAGCTTGTAGTAGGCATCTTGTTTTGAATATTAGAACTTTAACTTTAATTTAGAATGCCAACTCCAATTGAGCAATACTACAAATATTTTTCATTATCACGTGTACCACCCAAGTTATTAAAAAATGAGGAACTTGCAAATCTCTATCTTAAGCCTCCAAAGGAAAAGAGATCTGAACGTCCAAAAGTTCTAGTTTGGAAAAACAATGCTACTCAACAAGCTGATTTGGGTGAGATGCCTATTGATCCAAAAGGATATCATTTACATTATTTTCTTGTACTTGTAGAAATTGCATGCCGAAGAGTAGATGGAGAACCACTCAAAAATAAGACCTCAGAAGCTGTTTTTAATGCATTTATTAGAATTTATCGAAGGGGGCGGATAAAGCCACCAATTTCCAGGTTGGAGGTTGATAGTGGCAAGGAGTTTGATAACCATTTAATTCATAATTTTTTCATAAATACTATAGGTGTACTCATAAGATTTGGTGAGACAGGAAGACATCAACAGCAAAGCTTCGCTGAGAAAGCTATCCAGGAAATACAGGAACCCCTGATTCAGCGAATGAATGCACAGGAAATAAAAACTGGTGTAACTTCCATAGAATGGTCTGAAGATTTCCATACCATGGTAGACAGAGTTGATGAACTATGGCAACGTAATCCTCTGAAAATCCCAGAAGGCTTTCCCAAAATTGATAAAAATACTGAACTTCTCTCAGAAGGCACTAGAGTACGAGTAAAATTGGAAGAACCCATGTCTGTATTGGGAAAAAAATTGCATGGTAAATTCCGCACAGGTGATATTAAATGGAATCCCGAAATTCGGGTAATAAGAAAGCTTATGTTGAGTCCAGACCAACCTCCCACTTATCTCCTTGATGGTCCCCATGGAAAATTAAAGGTATCTCGCTGTGCATATACCAGAAAAGAACTCCAGGTAGTCCCAGATAATGAGAATCCTCCACCAGATTCTGTTATTAGAGGTAATCCAGAAAGATATATTCCAGAAAAAATTCTTAAGCAACGAACTAGAAAAGGCCAATTACAATACTTGGTAAAATGGAAGCATTACCCTGAAAATCAAGCTACTTGGGAACCTGCTGATAAATTGCAAGAAGATGTTCCAGATTTCGTAAATAAATATTTGTCAGGAGCATAAAAAATAAAGTGCTCCATATTTTTTTTTATCAACCAAAATCTAGTTTTCTTCAATTTTCGATCTATTTTTATCTGGCACAATAGGAATGAAGTAATTTTTTTCATTGCAGGTAAGCGCTATATGATCTCTAGATTCATGTATATCATAATTATAGCGTCTAAGACAGTTCCTGCTTAATGCGATCTCTCGATAAGGATAGTTATCAACTACAGCAAAATCTTCCTCTATAACACATCCTGGAGCCAGATTTACCAAACAATTTCTTACCATTCCTAGTGTTCTTCTTTCTCCAGATGCACCAGTAAGCCTACATATCCTGCTAGTATCGATTTTTAAATCCAATTCTTCCTGAACTTGCTTTGGCATAAAAGAAGCATTAGCACAGGTATCTAGAAGAGTTTGAATTTTTGAACCATTCACAATCCCTTTTACTGCCATAAGGTCTTTGGCGTTTTTAATTCTTACGAGATCAATATCCATAAGATCTAAATCTTCATCAGGCTGTGTGTCAAGTTCTATATCTTTTTTCTTGGCCATGCTAGTACTAGCTCTGCCAACTTTCTCTCTTGCCAGCAATATATTTAAAAATCCTAACTGAGCCAATTCCTTCTGAACAACGTCACAAATAATTTTTTCCAGGTTTATGATACCTAGTTGTGAAGCAACTGCCTCTGGTAAAGAAGCATTTTTCTGTATAGCTGGCTTCTTTGTGGAAACCTTTTTTACTGCACTCTTGGCTTTGGTATCTTTAGTAGCCATTTTACTATTACTCGACAAGGATTCTTCACTAGATTTTACTTTTTTTTTTTCGAACTGCACAAATGGTATACTCGTCATCAAAATCTAAGATATCATTGGAAGAGACAATGTCTTGAGTCCCTGACTCATATAATAAATTGGAAGTTTTTGTAGGTTCTTCATCATTAATATTGAGCTTACCAAGATCACCAGAAAGAACGTTATCAATATATTTATCAAGTTGCCTATCTTTACTTTTTTCTCTACGTTTAGCAAATCTCCGGGCAACTGCTACATCTATTGGCTTGAGATCCAATTGACGGAGTTCTCTTCCAGCTTCTTGAAAACTGATATTGCTTAAATAATTTTTTTCACGATCTTCTCTCATTTGCTGTAGAACCTCTGATATTCTTTCGCGACAAGATTCCCTACTTTCTACAGGTGTTGGCTGTTGTATGGGTGCTTGATGTACAATCTCTTTTTGGAAAGCCTGAAGTTGATTCTGGAAATTCTGCATAATTTTTTCGGTATGCGCTTTAAGTATTTGATCTATCTGCTCTTGCGTAATTCCTGAAGTTGCAGGCTTCAATATTATAGGCTCCTGCTGTGATACAGGAGGTATTTGTACAGGAGTTATGGTATGAGTTGGAGAATCTGAACTATGCTTCTCCTGAATTATAGCTTTTCTAGTATTTCTATTGGACAAACCCAAACGCATTTCAGCTTTCCTTTTTTCAACTCTCTTTAAGGCATCAACCAATTCATTAAATGGCTTATTAGGACCAATTCTATCTGCCTCGAGCATGTTTTCTGGAGATAAACCTCTAAAGAATTGATTTTCAATAACATCATCACTGAAATTAAGTAGCCGACCAGACCTTTGCACTTTTCTGTAAAAGACATCAACTGGATCGTTTTCTTGAGCAAGATTTCCAAATCGTACTTCACGCTGTTCCTGCAATACTGTAGGAAATTCAGTTCTAATCAACTGAATTGCCTCTCCAGGCCCAATTTCTGGCAATACTATAGGATTATTATGTCCAACGGCGAAATCTGTAGCAGGTTCATCTGTAGGTTCTCCACCAATATCTCTCCAGTCTTGATACAGACCATGAGCTGGAATTAACCCACTATTTGCTAATGTAACTGCATTATTAGCTGGGTTGGTAGCATAAGAATATGCTCTGCTTGGATTTCTAAAGCTATTAGAAGCGACTAACTCTTGCATAGTCATATTTAAAACATCTGCCCAATTATTTTGACCATGATTATTAAATAAATTACGCAATCGCCAACGTTTTCCAGTAATATGCTCATCAAACCAAATGGCCGCCGATTCTTTCATACATGCTCTGAGAATACCCACAGCTCTTTTACTCCCAGATGGAGGACCACCTGCTACATCTGCAGGATTAATACCAAGACTATCTAAATGTCCTGCGAAAAGGTTAATAAATTGTTCAATATCTTCTTCGGGTTCTCCTGATAATATGGGCAATCCTAATGCAACAGTAGCCATACTTGATCAACTGGTTGTGGGGGTAATTTCTGTAAGTTATTAAATCTAACTTCCAAATCTTTAAATCGACGTTTCCACTTTTCCCGCTTTGTATTACACGTATCTAATTGTAATTGTAAATTCTGATATCTTCGAAATATAAATCGAAACACGAATTTTTCTCGAAGCAATTTAGATATACGTTTTTCCCTTTCTATACAGGTTGCTTTCTGGAAATGGTAAAGTACTTTGCAGGACTGGTAATTCTGATTAAGAACGTCATAGTTAGTTTGGATTGTATCCAACTCAGTTTCTAAATTAACTACTCGTCCTTCAGCAAGAACCGCGCGATTGTTTAATCTACTAATTAACTGATTATCCGAAGTTAGTGCTAATTCTTGTAATGCTTCTGATGCTTCCACAATCAATCGAAGTCTTATTATAACATCATCAGGACGTAAAGATGATATATGAGGCGTTTGAATATATACTCTAATGTTATGAACCTCTCGGTCTATTTTATTAAATGCGTTCGAAATATTCCTATTTCTAGACGATTGCGCCATGGCTATTAAACATATAAACTTATATTTTTAATTTGTTATATGGATTGCTATTTATATAACGTCGACGAGTATCAGCCATTAGAAGGTTGTAATAAATTTGCGCCAACATGGCCATTCCGAATGGCTACATTCGGAAGCTCTGATTCTGGTAAAACTACTATGATCATGAATCTCCTTATGGGTGATAAAAAAATGAAGGAAGATGGTAAACGATATATTCCCTGTAATGATATTGTTTTGATCGGCAAACATTTAAATGAGCCAAAATGGAAAATCGTCGAAGATTTCTATAACGAGTTAGCTGAAGAGGGGGAGGACGTATCATTCAAATCGTATAGCCCAGAAGAAATGCCTACTGTGTCAGATTTCGATCCAGCTAGATCAACCATTGTAATACTTGAAGATCTTTTAAACGAATCGAAAAAAATACAAGATCTTATCGCATCATATTTCACTCACGGAAGGCATAATAATATTAGTTCGATTTATGTAGCCCAGCGATTTTTTAAAATTCCCAAGACTATCCGGGAAAATATTACTTATATTTCGTTACATAGAGGAGGGGGGAGTTTAAGCGACATTAAAAGAATTATTAGCCAATACACTGAGCATTCTGATAGTCTTGCACCGATAATCGATGATCTTACATTGAAAAAAGAATTTATCGTATTTGATTTGAGAAGATCTAGAAGCGATCCATTATCGATCAGGGTTCGGTGGGACACCAGTCTTAGATCAATCTTAGATCGATCTCAGATTGAAACAGGATCAATTAATATTACATCTTCTTCAGAACTTTCAAGTAGGCATGAAGTGCCATTTCTCCGAAATAAATTTAGCTCATATGGCCAGGATGCAATAGCGCAGGCAAAAAAGAATGATTCATTAATAGAATTTGCTAGAAAAATGCCTGTTCCAAGAGAACGTAATCTTTTATTAGCTAAAGGAGTAAATGTTAAAAATAATGATATATGGGCTAGATATGTTTTTCGAGAAGCATATGGCATAGTTGGTAAAGATCTCGGTTCTGAATGGAGGGATTTCGTTAAAAGAATTAAGAACGAATCCGTCTCTTCTTCCAGTAGAGTTGGAAACACGGAGCCTTGCTCCAAAAATTCTCATTACTTGCGATATAAAAAAATATTAGAGTTACGCCCACTCGATGATAAAAAATTTATCGAAGGCTGTGAGATCCTTCTTTGGCTTTTCTCAAATAGCCACATGGACCGACGTACTTTTCTGGTCGGGATTAAGGAATTAAGCAACCTAATCACTTGAAGCCAGAAATGTTTGCTCCTCCCATTCCCTCATATTTTGATTTTTTGCTTCCTCGGTTATCAAAAACGTATCTTCACAGACGTTGATATAATGTATAAGGTACATTATTTTTTGATCAACAAGCACTTTAAGTTCCGATATAATCGGCATGGAATGGTCCAATTCGGATTCCAAATCCAATTTATTTAGCAAATCATCCCTCCTATTCTTATAATCGTCAATTAGTGCTTCCAGCTCATCTATCTTGTTCAGATTTAGAGCGTAAATGAAATCAACCGCGCGTCTCAAATTTTGTTTACTCACAAATTCGTCGATAATTTTCTTACGATTAATATAAAGCTGGCGTCGAGCCTCTAAACGCCAAGTGCGATTAACTCTGGAAACTATACACTGGCTCTTTACCGATAAATAGCTGATTATTTTTCCGACTAACTCAGGGGTATCAAATACCTTATCCATTTTTACTAATATACCTATTACCTCGTATTAATTCAATTCGAATTTTTGATATTATACGAAAAATAAAATAATTAATTAATCGGATAAATTAGAGCTTCTAGCTCATCCCATTTTTTCGGAAAATTTCAGATAACTCATCGTTTGATGCACATATCGTTATAGTACACTTTGGCTTATCATCACGTATTACCTTTTTCATTTCCGTTTTTAAGCCTAAAGCAGATAACGCGCGTGCTACTCGATTTTTATTCATAGGATTATGAACATTTCCAGCGTAATTCTGATAAAATTCGTTGAAAGTTTCATTTATATCTGAGTAATTAGATTGTAAGAATTTATATAATCCCATCTCTTCACCTTCTCGATCATTGATAAAGCCAAGTACCCAAATTCTAATACAATCAATATCGTTAGCGGGAATTTCAATCATTGTTTCGAGATTATCTAAAAATTTATCCACGAATTCTTTCGTTTTATACTCAGATTTAATAAATCGGGTCAAGTAATCCTTAGATTCGATAAGCGCATTTAAATCCGTAATATTATTTACGTAGCGACGAAATTCGATGGGAGAAAGTCTGACTTTTGGTTTGCCAACTATATGGCCACAAGTTACGCATTTTGTTTTGGTAGCAGTTTGTATCGACATTTTTAGCAATAGTTTATATAAGAAATGAATTTATTCAATTGGTATTGTGGTGGGATACACTCATCACAATATTCACCTTGTTCTAGGTTTATAGCAATAAAGCATTCTCGACATAATGTGATATTGAGATTTGCAAGCTTCTCTCCGTGTATAGCCATAATTCGTTCGTGGGTTGGGAGAGGATCTTGAGCTTCATTAGAATCGCCGGAAATCACTTCCGGTGGGACTAAATAATAATCGTTTTCTATATCCCATCCAGCATTAAGCAATTCATAGTATCTCCTTCCGCCAGCGGTAACTCGGCGGTGTGTTATAGCATTAAAGTAGTAATGTCTTGGTTCAGGTGGAGGAGCGTTTGCCCTTCTCACTAATTCGCCATTGAAATAATCGTATCGTTCGCCGATTAATTGATAGAAACGAACTCCTCCGAGTTACCGCTGGCGGAAGGAGATACTATGAATTGCTTA